CTGAGGCTACCATACATGGTGCCACCTGCTACTCAGTAACCATTTACACACTCACACACAGATGTAACAGCCATTAGGGGCAAATTGTAGTGCAGTATCTTGCCCAAGGATACTTCGACATGTAGGCTGGAGGAGCAACGGCTCGAACTGCCAATCCTCCCATTAGTGGATGACCCGCTCTACCTCCTGAGCCACAGCTGCCCCAAATACATGAAACGCAACCACATGACATCAATGCTAATAGCATGGGAACACTTAGCAACTTGAAGTGGTTTATATATCTATATTTTGTTGAGACTGACATTCTCAAGTTATTCTTATGATCAAAAATACAGGAAATGAAGTGAGAGAATTTACTTTTGGTTTTCTCATGGCCTTCAGGAGATTCAAATCATGCTATTTCCTGTTGATCATGTGACCTGTGTAATGTCCCAGATTTTCACAGGGGGGAATGTGACAAGGTTACAGGACTGAGTGAAAACTTGGGGAAACCATTAAATGTGTATTTTAACTATAATTAAAGGATTATCCATTGAGAAAAAATGTATTTATCTCTAATTTGGAAATAGAGTCACACACTTTAAAACAAACAAAAAAAGATTTATGACGGATTCTAATCGTTGTATTTCATGGTGAAGTTTAGTGTTCAAGCCTGGGGACGGTATTTTTTTATTGAGGTTTTACATGATACACCTTCAAATTGCAATTAGGACAAAGTGAAAGACACTTTGCTTGTTAATACAATGTCTTACTCAGATACTTTTCGGGCATATTTCATGTAATATCCTGGGGACGGAAAAGGCAACAACACTCGCCAACTGTACCACCGCGCAGAAGGAAGCGTGCATCTACGGCTAGCTCACCTAGCACCACTGAGCTAGCTAATGTAACAGCCCAGCCGAGGAGGACACTGTCCCAAGCACGAGCCTCTTATCCATGAGTAGATGCACGCTTCCTTCTGTGCAGTGGTACAGTCGGTAGGTGTAGTTCAGATGAGCACCACAAGCCACGTGCCATCGAGTGTCATTACAGTGGAGAGAAGGCAGACATCTCTACAGCTGATATCTCCAACACTCTGCAACTCACACCAAAACGATCTACACTACAAACAGCACTACAGGTAAGAGGAGAAATATGTGATTTTGATTTTGGGGTGAACTGTCCCTTTAAGTGTGGTCAGTGGCGTCATAAAACTAAACGTGACAAACACAGCTCCTTTACTGTCTGATGTAAAATGGCAGGTCACCAGAAAAAACCCAGCACTGTTTAAATCCTCACATTTTTCGCCTTCCTCGCTGTCACAGAATGACATCATGCTGTTTTGTGTGAGTGCAAATTGTAGCCTCCTCTGCACCATCAGGAAATGATGCGTTCCACGGGTGGGAGTGGAGGGGGATGCATGCTTGGCTCTGCATCCTGTCTGCAGAGAGGTACCTGTTTCTCAGCAGCAATTTCGAGACAAAGCAGCAGTCTTGTGCAGCATCTTCAACCCAGCAGGCCAGAACATCAGTGTCAAATGAGGGGGTACAAGGAGACAGATGAGGGGGATAAAGGGTGGGAAGAAATGTCCCACATCCAGTTTAGAGCTGCAACAATTAGCCAGTGAACACAGCAAATGACTCATCGACTATTTAGATAATCTATTAATGGTTTCGGATATTTTCCAAGCAAAAACACACAAACATTTTTTGGTTTTAGCTTCTCAGATCCTCTGTTTTTCACTGTTATACACAATTAATTATAGATTATAGATTCATTTGGAAATGTTACTAATGTCACTTTGGGCTCTAGCTACTATGATAAGCGTATTTTTTCACAATTGTTTTTACATTTTAGAGTCCAACTGATCGATTGAGATGAAGCGATAATGAAAGTAATGGTTAGTTGGAGCAATAGGCGTGGATTTGGTGGGGGTGCAGGGGACACGTACCACTCAATATTGAGAACATGTGCAACATTAAAGACATTTGTATCATGAACTGGTCCAGAAAAATTCGCCAGATGCTCAAAATTTTCAATGAGGAGGACCCTTGTTTTTAGGTGAGGTCACATTAAGCTATCAGAGAAAAAAGATTAGCACACATTAGACGTGCCAAACAACGTAGGAAACACACTGATTTATAACGCAAAAAAAGCTTTATTCACTGTTTTTACTGGTTTAAATCACTTGGTCTGTTTGTTCTGGAGAAGAAAAGACCTCTGCTGATAATTCGGCTGCCTGTACAAACCTCCTGAACAGTTAACATTAAAAGAATCCTAACTGGGAAAAGTTTCAGCTGGTTTCAATCCACAATCTTCACCACTAGATGCCACCAAATCTCCTTACATCTCACACAGTGTTCCTTTAATCAGCTAATTCTGTTACCTCTAAAATTCTTATTGACATTTCAGTGTGTTGAGGGTTGTTGGTGTGTGAGTTGTGCAACAGCATGACAGAGACAAAAGGGTCTGGATTGTAGAGAAGAACCTGTTGTGTGAGAAGAAGCTGCATCCCTGACATTGAATCTCAAATCCCGTCATGTCGCCGAGGAACCCATGAGAGCTGTTTCAGATCCATTTTTCTTCTGACTGCTTCTGGAACAATCTTTCTCTGTGCTATTACAGAGGACTCGCTCATCCACAAGACAGGTGGCACACGCACTGCACCCCCCCGTCCAAGCATCTTTGTTTTTCACCTCTATTAAGTCGTCTTCGAAATAAATGCTGAAAGAAAACAATCACGCTGCAACAATTAGCAAAAGAGCTGCAATATGATTCTTCGGTCAATATTGCACGGCCCAGTTTGGCTCTCAGTTGAAGCATAACATTTCAAGTCCCTTCTGCTTTATAGTTTCAGCCAACTCATTCAGGGCTTTGGATAAGAGGGCCAGCCCACACTGACAGCTTACACCTTCTGGAGTGAGACAGTAATAGCATTACCAACCAGGCCAGCACACAATATAAACACAAATTCTGCAGAATCACGACTCACATGTCATCTGAACACACCGCACACAGAGCAAAACAATCATTAACACTAACGTTCTCGTCTCTAATGAAAGTCTGACAACACAGCAGCTTCAAAGACACCAAAGTTGGAGCCTGTTTGATCTTTTTCAACCATAAATACCAATTCTGACTGTAGTTGCTCCGGGGTGTTGATATCCAAGATATAGGCAGTTCCTATTTCAGGGGTGGGCCTTAGGGTCTGAGCTGAGGGGTGATAAATATTCAAGAAACTGTCAGGTCCTTTTGTTTGGAAGTGCAATTGCAGGAGTTAGGTAAGCAGCAGTTATTCCTCAAGTATAATTACATAGTTTGCAGTGCCGTACCTAGCACATTCAGCACCCTAGGTAAGCCCCCTCCACCCCAAAAAAATGTATTTATTTTTGCTATTATCATTATTATTATTATTATTGTTACATTTAATAGTTTGTTTTTTTTATCTATTACTAAGAGGAACAAGAGCTAATGAGCATGGATGGGCTACTGAACTCGCCTACTGTACTGACCAGAAAAAAGCGATCCAAAAAGACACAATATTACCCCAGAGACGCAAAACACCTTTAAAGGAGACACAAAATAATAAAAAAGACACTAAACCACCCTAATAATTACCTCAAGGAGACAGAAAATAGCCTTAAAAATACCTAAATGACAACAAAAAAACACAAACCAACCCTAAAGGAGATATAAAATGTTAAAATAACTGCAAAACAACCTCTATAATTACCTCAATAAGACAAACAACTGCTTCAGACATGCCTAAATGACAACACAAAGACACAAACCAACCACAAAGAGACACAAAATAATAACAAAAATGGTCAAAACAACCACAAGGAGACACAAAGCGATCCAAAAAGACACAATATTACCCCAAAGAGACGCAAAACAACTTTAAAGGAGACACAAAATAATAAAAAAGACACTAAACCACCCTAATAATTACCTCAAGGAGACAGAAAATAGCCTTAAAATACCTAAATGACAACAAAAAGACACAAACCAACCACAAGGGGACACAAAACATCTAAAAAAAGACACAAAATTGACCCAAAGAGACACAAAAACACATTAAAAAATTCTGTAAAACCACCTAAATAAGACACAAAACAGTAAATTAACTGCAAACCATCTCAATAATGACCTCGATGAGACACAACATTGCCTAAAAGATACCTACATGACTACATAAAGACAAAAACTAGCCCAGAGGAGACACAAAGTGACTAAAAAAGGCACAATATTCCCCCAGAGAGACTCAAAACAACCCTTAAGGAGACAGAAAACTATCAAAATAGACACAAAACCACCTCAACAAGACACAAAATTGCCTCAGATACCTGAATGACAACCAGAAGACACAAACCAAACCACAAGGAGACACAAAGCGCTCCAGAAAGGACACAACATTACCTAAAGGAGACCCAAATGATTTCAAAAAGACACAAACCAATCCTAATGTGCACATCTTTTCATTTTTCTTTTCTTACAATAATACTCTCCATTTTTTGATTTTTGAATGTGAGAAAAAAATTGAGGCCCCCTTTGAGTGGCGCCCCCAGGAGGCTGAATATGTCATGTAGAGGAAGATGGCCACTGTCAGTCTGTGGTGATATTACACTGAGCAGATTATCACAGGTGCGTTCTCACTTAAGTAGCCTATAAAAATCAAAGACAGTACTGTTTAAAATGTCCTCAAAGGAAGGAATAACACTTGAAATGGAGGAGCGTGTTTGTGTTTGACAGAGAAGACAGAACTCATGGCTCCCATCTGCTTAGTTTAAAGGGACACTTGCTTCTAGATATTTCTTTACACATGTGGACAGGCATCCATTTGAATACTTGTTTCAGAGGGACACTGAATCTGATTTGGATTGGTGGGTTTAATAGTGTTGAAGGGATCCACAATGAGCCGGGCATGGACCACCAAGGTGACAGAGGAATGTCAAATCATAAGGCGCATCATGTTTCAATAATTCATCACTGATTGTCTTTTTCTTTTCAACTTTTCTTACCACTTGAGTTCTTTCCGCAGATGAGGTGCTGGTAGGGCTGCAGCAGACCCCAGATCTCCGAGTCGTTGTTGATGGCTTGCTCCAGAGACTCCAGCGTAAACTTGGGGATCCCGTTGTCCCTCTCCACCAGCGCGCTGCGCAGGACGCGGCTGAACACCTCTCTGAACAGACTCTCCACGCAGGCGGTGAGGTATATGGCAGCGTGTTCGTGGATCCTGAGGGCCACCCGGCTATCCACCATCCACCTGAAGAACTTCCCCACGGAGAACACCAGCCCGCAGCGCGACGACTTGCCTCGGCTGAACCTGTCCCCGGTGCTCATGTTGTAGAGGGACAGCGCGCTGAGAGCCGCCGTGATGCAGTTGACGGAGATGGTCCATGAGAGCACCACCTTGATGGCGCTCTGGATCTCGTGCTTGGTGCACTTGGCGTAGCGCAGGCTGAGCCGCTGCGCCTCCCGGGCCACCCGCACCAGCGCGCGGCTGACGAGAGCGGACAGCCGCGCCAGGACCTCCGGTGGAGGGTCGCCCACCATCAGCTCCTCGTCTTTCCTCAGTGCGCCCTCCACCTCGCCGAGGCTCCATGGCACGTCCTCCAGCTCGGGCAGCTTGGCGCACTGACCCGAGCACTCCAGTATCTCCGTGTCCTCCGCCAGGACGGTGTTGACTGTGTCCAAACTGTTCTGTCTGCTGTGCATGGATTCCGTCAGATGCCAGCAGTTGCCCCCATGCGCGATGGACTGATGCGTGTCGGAGCAGCACAGCGACACGCTGGACGACCTGACCGAGTCCGCGGCTCCACCATAACCAGAATCAAGCGTTAAATCCTCCAGCGTCCTCACGACTGTCTTACCCTTGCCTGCCATAACTGCACCGCATACTGTTGGGTATGCTTGGTCTCTCAGTTAAATGCCACAAACTCGTTTTCTCGCTTCTTCTCAGCCGCTGTCCGACGACTTGTAGGTATTCCCCGGCTTTTAAAGAGTGAACCGACAGAAGGGAGCCTCTACTTTCCTCCTCCTCTAAGTGGCTGGATGTCTCCGATATCCTCTTGTCCACAACTTCACACGCGTAACCCGAGAGCGCACAAACCCTCCGCGCTCACTGCAACAAGCGCAGCACGGGCAGGACTCTGATGGAGAGGTGGAGCCTGGAGCCCCGCGGGCTGAGACAAGCCAATCCGCATCTCCATCAGCTTTGACTGACACACACAGCCTACCTGCTACCTTTGAGCAGAGGCTACCTGGCGCTGGTGGAACATAACTGCAGAATCAGAGACGCACACGTAGGCTGCCGTGCCAACCAATCTGTTATTTAGTCGGAGCTGCAGTGGAGTGATGGAGGCAGTGTCAGGGTGAGAGGTGGATTCTCACTGAGGAGACACATGGTGGAGATTTGAATGCACTCTTGGTACTGTGGGAAAAAATGTGGGTCAATGACATGGCACAACAGGCGAGAGGGGAGGGGGACACGAAAACAACACATCCAGCCCTTTTATTTTAACTCAAACACATTTAAACAGATCACACTGTCAGAGAGGATGAACATAAACGTGCTGCTTTTGTTAATATTAATCATTTTCCAGAGGTCAAAGGTCATGCACTTGTTTGCTCTCCTTTTTTATTTATTGCCAGTGACGCCACCAAGAAGGGGCCAGAGGGGGCCATGGCCCAAAAATAATTAGAGCCCAATAATACAGTCTTTAAAATACTGTGGTATGCTCATTCTATAAGCTAACATAAAGGTGCTGGTATCTTGTGAAACTAGACAACCTAAGGCATCCATTGGTATCAACCATGCTGACATAGCTTGTCATGTAGAGGGCTAAATAACTCTTCAAAGTTAGGCTTAATTTTGGTGAGGGAATAACTGGCATGGTCATTTTCAAAGCCATTTCAACCCTTACCCCAAGGTATATGACAGAAAATGGGTTCTATGGGTACCAAGGAGTCTCCCCTAAATTTGAGAAGGCTCGTTCACGGTAAATGTTTTCAACACATTCTCACTCTGACCTTGTCACATATCAGCATTTGGTCACGGACTATCCACGTCCACATACGACGTGCAAGGTACCCTGGGTGCGTTGGTTGGTGACGTTCTGGAACGCCATGTCAAGTTCTGCCTGTTACATGCATTGTCGTCTTTCAAAATACACTTCTGTTTTCACAGGAAATTTACGTCAATACAACACCACAAAGTGACCTTCAACAACAAACACATGGTTGGGTTTAGGCAACAAAAGCACATGGTTAGGTTTAGGAAAAAAAACAGGGTTTGGCTTTAGAATCTTACAGGACACGAACACTGCTCTCTCAGGTGAAAGTCGGTGTTTGTTGGACCCATCCACCACCCCTCCTGACTTTCGGCATCTTAACTTCTGTCCTCCCGCCATGTTTCCCCTGATGTTGCCCGGCAACTATAACAGCAACTGGCCGTGTATCATGTCGACGTTGAAGGATGCCTTTTTCATTGGTTTCTGACGAGTCAACCCCAAGCACTGGATTTTGACGACTTCAAAGTGAGATTGGGCTCAACATTAAAACGGGATTGTTGTGAAACTCAAAATTTTAACTGTACCGGTAAAAGTTTCTGAACATCAGATCATTAGTGATACAAATAAGACACCAAAGTATATGAGTATGCAATTCCTTAAGGGTTCATTTATGCTCAACATGAGATATGTATACAGAGCCTTATTTCTGTACTCTGTATTTGTTTCGACCGTGTATCCGCACGTTTTCTAAAAGCTTCTGGATACAGATGTAACAGAACAGTACTACTGGTTGCTGGGGGGGGCAGTGTAGGGTAGTTCAAGCGAGATACAACCATAGGACATGAAGAGCACATTCAAATGGCAGAATAGAGCAAATTGGTAATATAGTATAAAGAATTCTCTGTCCACATGTTGTGATGTATTTAATGGCCTCACAGACCACCGTCATCTACAATGCTGCCTCCATTAAAAGGTGTATTATCACAACCTCCTCCACTGACACCTTGTGTGTTGTTATGCATTCTCAGAACCCATCGGCTGTATTCGCCGTCTGACGAATTTCCGTTTCCGACTTCTGTTTATATATAAGTAAATATGCGGAACCATTGCGATGGATTCAGAGTTTGCAGTGACGCCAGTTATGTTCCGCCTTGTTAGTTCACCGCACTGAGCGTTTAACCTGGCAACAACTGCAGCCGGCTCAAATTTGATTTGTCATTATCACTCGGACTACAAACAGTCTATTACCGGAAACCAGGGCTCTTCCGCTCTTCTTCCGGAGGCAAGATCTCCTGGGTTTGCCTACAGACTCTACATTCACTGAATGTAGAGTCTGTATATAGAGACGAGTTGTTATGTGGCACTTCTGACTCAGCACTCTACTGCCATCTATTGGCTGTATGTATGCCATCATGTTTACAACATTTGAAATGGACAGATGTTACCGGTGGACTCTTGTGATGTCTGCTTTGTGTTGATATGAAGAGGCCCATATTGTGGATATCTCTGGAGGTGATCTCCATTTATTCCAACTGACAGCAAGAGGTGAAAACAAAATCCTCCGTCAGTCACAACCATATCAACTCAAGCCCCTACACAAATTAAGTGACACAAGTTTATGTTAGCATAGAATGAATTTAGAAACAGCTTAACAGCGCTGAAACTACTAAATACTATGAGAGCAATGACGCTTACCTCTCCCATGGAGGACGACAGCAAAAGGGGAGAGGTAAGGTGGGAGACACCCCTTTATAGGTGGGGTACCCCCAAAGATGAACATTAAAAGGCAGGATAAATGAGCCCTAACTCTTCATATTGACATAGTTGCCTACATACTTTAAGAGTATAATACAATCCCTTAAATCCAGTCATGACTTTTGGTTTCGGTGTGCCACCTCAAGATGTTCGGTGACCCCATCTAGCCACCACGATGATAGACTTCTGTGGGCGCCACTGTTTGTAGCTACATTACTGATTATAATCATAGCAGCTCTGTGGGGATACGTTAAGGGTCTGCTGTGCAATCTATTTCTACAATTAAAATAGAAATAACTCCGACAATATGAATATTGAAAGCACAATACTGCCAGATGTCTTTTCAATTTAATTCTTGCTGTGTGTACACTTGATCCCATTCTGCTCAGCTAATAATAATATTAATATCCTGTTTGTAGTCTGGATAAAATACAACATTTGTGAATGGACTTCTGTTGTTTAAAGTGGACTTTTTCTGAATTGGATTTGACCACTGCTGAGAGTTTTAAGTGAAAGTGTGTCTGCAGCTAAAGTCTTCAGGAGCACCATAATCTTTAATGCCATATCCCTATAAATATTTTACTGTTCAAAGCTCCAACATCCAGCGACGATGATACAGACCTGCAGCCCTGCGTCAGGGTTCATCCTCATTTCATCACGAACGCTGCCCAATGTTTTATCCTCCATAACATCGCCTGTCATTTCTTTGCGTGTCAGGCCACGAAAACAAAGCTAGAGTGAGTCGGATTGCGAGGACACGCTGAGAGGAACAGTTGGTGGAATGATGATTCATCCATTCTGCTGGGGCTTCTCCTTGTATGTCTGAGCTGGACCAACCATCTGTCCACACTGCCTGCCATGCCAGAGGCCCTTTCATATTTTCTTAGCATGACACTGCAGTACTCATGCCAGGCCTTGAAAAAAAAACTCATTACACTGGAGTTTTGGGGAATGATGCGGTGCCCACTCTTGTAGAGTGATGTGGGAAGGAGAAGTGAAAAAGCAAATCATGCTTGTGTCAGGGTGTCATTGTTTGACTGACAAATGATAAAAAATAGCATAGCCAAAATATATGGAAACACATTGGGCCCCTGGATGCTACTGGATAAGAGTTTTTGGATAAGTTTGGGAAGATTTAATTGACTGACTAGTTAATTATTTCCATTCTTACATGAACTCCACAGAAAAATTTCTGATATTAACATATTATGCATTAACAGTTCTCCCTATAAAGTTTCCATGTAGGCAGATGTCGCCACAGGCACATCCTATCCTCCAGTGTGTGACATCAGCTCCTCTCCAGCACTCTGCCATGAGCTCTTGATGCAATGCAGCACATCTCGCTGACTGACTGGCTCAGGTGAGAGTGGCGGAGGTGTGGGCAGCTGTCAGCTGCTTCTCTACACGGACCGTGGTCCTCCAAAGCTCGTCCTCATGTATTAAGCCTTGGTTGCCTGGTAACAGCAAAATGATGATTTTTTTTTTCCTGGCAAGATGATAAATTGTTAGTGTTTGGCCGGCAGAGTGAATGCATCATGTAAACATGCTTCACAGTCACAGTTTTTATTTGGTAATTTGTTGAATAATGTGTTTTTCGATTTTCATTTGTGTGTGTGGTTATGTTTGCAGGATATTGCTTTTTACTGTGTTACCTTTATATACTGTAAAGCCTTTTAAAATATATATCTACTGTGCATTTGATACTTTTAAACTATGACTTATGTTGACTTTTTAATCATTTATTGTTCTAATATTATCCAGCAACAATAGTAGTCCTAAAACAATAAGTTTATTACCAAAATGCCATGACTCTGTGGAAAAGTTGGCCCATAAACTGTGCAAATACAAAAGAAAAATGTGCATCATCCACTATAACAACTTCCTTTTATCACGTGTGTATATATCAAAATAAGTTTATTATCTGACACAGACAGAGGGCGCCAGTGATGTGATGTTATACTGACGCCCGGTGGCCAAAACACGACACTACCTCCACAGGCCAAAGGCTGCATTTTTATCTCTTGCATAATTACAAAACATTTTATGTAAGAGAATATTGTGACGTACTTTTAATTTAGACAACAAAACATCAAATATTAAGAAAAAAATACATATTGCAGCTAGCACTTACAATAGTAGTGATCATAAGATAATTTTACTTACATACATATACAATATATAGATAATGTATAAGGTAAAGTAGGTAATATTACTCTTATCTAAACTTAAACAGCAAAGCAAGGTTATTTGTACAGCATCTTTAACAGCAAAGCAACTTAAGGTGTTTTAAATAAGACTAACAAATGTAATTAAAGGAGAATATATTGTAATAAACATAAGGAATTAGGCTATAAAAAAAAGACAATTCAGATGTGAATGAATAGTCCCGAATTTAAATGAATAAAAAGCAGTGGCAAAAAGAAAAGTTTATTTAATATATGGCAAAACTTATTTTAAATCACAGCCATGCTTCAGACCCAACAGCATAA